CAGCATTTGATGGGTATATAAATCACATATTTCAGGACGAATGTAGAATTGATGGCTTGATTAGTTAAATGAAGAATACAACGCAATTAAGGCATGTATTATATGATAGATAAGCTCTAAAAAATCAGGAAGTATTATTAAGGATAGGCTACAAATTTATTTATAATATAAATAGAGGGATATAAATGCGTTGAAAAAACACAAATCAAAAGTTAACAGCTTGTTAACAGTTTCAAATAAGATAGATGAAGAAATTTTTATAGTTAACAATATATTCAAGATTCTCGTAGATCGGATTAGATTAGACTTGGGCAAGGTGTTTATCTATATAAGCAAATTAATCACCAGCCAGTAGATAATTTTATATAATAAATTGAAGCTCACCCATTAAATATAATTTAACGATTTAAATTTCGTTGCCTACTTTCCGGCGCAGCTTCTGAAGCCAACGATTTACATATTTTAACTGTCAGTACGCGCAATTAAACAATTAAAAAACACATTTCATTTCCATTTTTATTAATTTAATGCAGCATTTTAACATTAAATGCTATTATTATTGTTTTCTTTTATTACATTTGGAAAGTTCAAAAATCTGCCAGCAAGAAGAAAAATTCATTGTTCTATACAATGTCAATTATATTTAATGCAAGCGATTTTCATGAAGCTACCTTATGTGAACTTTTAATAAGAGTTACAAACAAAAAATATATATATTAAAATGCATAATAAATAAAAACTGAGATGAACTCGACGTGCACAACATGACGTCTGTTTGTTGTTTACATTTTTATTTTATTTAACTATGTAAATGTTATGTCAGGCGCAGTTTTAAATACTTTAAAACCAGTCACAAAAAAAAAACAAAAAAAAAAAAAGAAAAAAAAAACAAGAAAAAAAAGGAATGAAAAGAATTATACGATTATTCGTTTTATTATTAAATGCAAACACATAAATATTTAAGCCAAGCGAAACTGACGACAAAAAGCGGCAGTTAAATCAAATATTAATGTCTTGATGCGACAACTGGAGTGGCGGCAGTGGCATACAACAGCAGGGGGCGCAACGGCGGGGGGCGGCACAGGATGCTGATATGTCATGTGCATTCATAAATCATTTGGCAAAATTGAACTGGCCAAGTCACAGTGCGCCACAAAACCCAAACGTATCAGTCAGTTAAAGTGCATTTAAGCGAATAAACGTAAAGACAGTGTGCAGTTTTCCAGCTGCTTAAACGAAGTCCAAATACTCTTTTATAAAACAATAATCATCCATAAGACTTGCCCGATTTTCACTTACTCTCCACGGCCACTTTTAGTTATATTCTTTATATTCTTTTTTTGAAAAGTTAGTGGAATAATAAGATTAGCTCCATAGGACTTGCTTCTATTTACATTAATTATAAATACTATTTATGTATAAATAATAGGATGTATCTCGTTATGACTCTCCGATTTTCATTGTTACTTTTAATTAAATTCTAAATAATCTTTTCTGAAAGGTTAGTGCAATAATAAGAAGTGTTCCTACCCGGTTCTCACTTATCCTTCAAGGCCACTTTGCAGTAAATTTACATTAAATTCTAAATACTCTTCCTTGAAACAGTCTGCACAATAATAAGTTGGTTATCTATACGACTTGCCCCGGTTCTCGTTTATCCTCCAAGGCCACTTAGAATTTTTTGTATCTCTTTACGACTTATCCCGATTTTAAATTAATCTCCATGGTCACTAAATTAAATTCAAAATACTCTTTTTTAAAAAGTTAGTGCATTAATGAGTTATATATCTATACGACTTGCTTTTACGTTCCATGGTCAGTTAAATAAAGCTTTGTTATTTGCGGTCTTAGATCTATTGACCTGCCCTAAGCTTAGAGCTTGTTTCTGACATTCATTATGGCATTGATTTTATAATTGTCCTCCATTGTGACTTTAGTTCGTCAAACGCAGAGCGATTTTCTGTCAATCCTTTACAGCAAGCAGTCGTCCATTTTAAAATAAACTACTTAGCCGCATTGGGCCTCCATTTCTACACACCTTCTTCAATATATTCCTCTTAGTCGCATTGGTCCTCCATTGTAAATTTAAGCCGTTTCCATTATTTTTGCCTAGTTCGATAGTATTAAAGATACCCACACTTATAAAATACTTAGCTTTACTGTCATTAGCTAAACATTTTAATAATTTATGGTTCCACATGTCCCTTACGAGTCACAAGTTGGTACCAAATAAAATAGATCTCACCAAAAATGGTTGTATAAATCGAATGTTATAGTCATTATGCCCTCGTGGAGTGCATAAATGTACAACAATAAGAGATGGCAGCGAAACGAAATGTAACAATTCATGCGCAATGAAAATGTGGCCATGTTATGACAACGACAGCCGCAGCAACAACAACATCAGCAATAAAGGCAACAATACAACAACAACAATAACAGAAACAACAACAACTGAAATGCGTATTGGTCATAAAATAGCAACATCAATGCAACGCATTCATTTGTATACACAACTCTGGTCCGGAATACAGCGCTATTAATAATAAATGTAGCACTGGTCACACACACACACACACACACACACACGCACATGCACACACACAGAGAGTCAGTGACATACAGAAGCAGTCAAATGAACTTTGCAAACCGAAATTCCCAACAATAGCAAAAACAGCAAGCTACGATCGAGTCATAACCCATAAAGCCCAACAGCTACAATGGGTGGGGTTGTTGTTGTTGCTTTTGTAGTAGTCACACACGCATACACACATAAAACATTGTAGAGACCATCCACACACAGCAACAACAACAACAAGAATTGAGTATGCGAGTGCCATAATAATAATAAATGCTATAATCCCTGAAATCGTTTGCGCCTCTGCGAACACCTCCTGAACACGCCCCGCCCATTCTTCTCACCAGTGTATGCATTTTTTATTTTCAATTTTCATTGTTTCGTCTCCAGCAATAACAACAACAACAATCGACGCGTCAAGTGAATTAAGCGATTTTTAAAGCTTTACGCTAAATGAAATTTGAATTGCCATTCAACGAATACACGAAATATACGAAAGTGTTCACTTGTGTGTGCAAATTAAATTACGCAAATCAAATAAATGTAAAAAGAACACATGCAACAAAAAACCACAAAACAAATGTATAAAATGTATGGGAAATAAAAGTAAACCTTCAAATGGAAAATGCTGTGAAAAACTAAACCAACAGAAATAAAAAAAAAAGATAGTCGCGTAATTAAACGAATATATGTAAAGTGTATATTCGCTCTGCGCATGTGTGTGTGCGCGTCTGTGTATTTAACTAATTCTAATTAAACGCACAAATTGCTCTGTACAAAATGTTTATAATCACGGTAATTAAACTTTTGCTTATTGCGCTCAACATATTTCCAAGCCGTTTTACAAATCGGCGGATTATGTTTCTCATCTATATGACGAATCTAGTGACACATGGTAAGTGCTTGAAATCGATTTAAAAACTTTAACTGGGTTAAAAACAAAATAAAAAACGAGCGCTTACAAGAAGAAGCTGTCTGTGGGATCATAAGCAGACTGTTTTGAAGTCTTAACTTGTTGAGAATTGAAAGCGTTAAGCCGAGAACTGAGATTTATTATTGGTAGAGATTTCAGTCACAACATTTACATAATCAGCTTGAATTTTTTTAGATTTTTGTAATATATATTTTATTTATTTTTTCTTAGGCGTTTTTTTTTTTCTTAATAGAGAACTTCAATAATTATCTCGGTTAAATTATTTTGAAATTTTCCTAATTATGTAAATGAATATTTAAGTCAGTTTTACTGACTGCAAAGTATTGCCCCAACCTATCCAATTATTTAATCAATTTTTAATTTGCTTAGATTTCAACGAAGGGCTGCTCGCTATTTGAACAAACCATTCCGGACAGTACAAGGTGTTGGGTGTCGAACCTGTCGACTCGGAGTCGGAGTCGAGTCGAGTAGTCATAATTTAATTAGTAAAATGAGACCTCAAATTGCCCGAGACGACGATGGCATCAAGCGGCTGGCTTGCATTCAATTTCAATGCCAGGTCTGTGTCCGTGTCCATGTTCGTGTTCGTGTTCGTATGCCAGGTGCAATGTTGGCATGCGGGCCGCCAACTGCGTGTTGCAGATAACAAGGTCCGCTCCGCTGTTGCGGGTCGCTGTGGCAATGGGGGCACATTGAGGCAGGCATCCACTTGCCGTGCTTAACAGCCTGGCTGGTGTTTTGCTTTTGTGCGCCATTTCCGTGGCAAAAAAAAAGAAAAACAGCACACGAAATGAATGCATAGAAAAACAAAAGTGCCATTGCAACAGCAGCAACAACTGCCACAGCAACAACCAAGGACGTCCGCAATGCCTCAACAGGCTGCGGTAGCCGCTACGGACTACCGACTACGTGTCGACTACAGCTCCGGCTCCCGGCTAGATAAAAAACGAAACACGAACAAAAAAAGGAAAAAAAAATACTGCTTTGTTAAATTATTTCATAATGACACTAACGCAACCGTTGATTATATTTGGCCTGCGGGTCATGGACTTCCGGCAGCAGCTGCTGCTGTTGCAGTTCCACAAACGCACAGCATCTACATATATTTGCATTGGATGCTATATAACTTTGTTATTCAGCTGGCCAAGCTTTATATTTAATTAATATGTTTTATTTACGAAACTATCTTCCTACGGGAACTATTCAAAAATGCTTGCCCCAAAAAGTATGCTCCAATTATTTTTATACACATTAAATTGAAATTCTTGGGCAAGTTTTTAGGAAACAGAGTTCGTTCGACTTTGATTTTTGTTTATTCTTTATATGAAAATTAAATTCCCTTTTCTAGTTTTTCCTGCTTCTATATTTTTAATTTTCTCAGTTAGGGTATGTTTCCCTTCGGTTATTTGCATATCGCAATCCTTATTATTAAGCTGCATCTGCTGCTCATTAGCTAACCGAGTTGTCTATTCCCCTCTTCATTCACAGTTATGATGGATGAGCCCCGCTTTGCACAGCCCATACCAAATGTCACCGTTGCCGTTGGCCGTGATGCCAATCTGCCCTGTGTGGTCGAGCATTTGGGCGGCTACAAGGTGAGTGCGGTATTGGGGGAGGGAGGGAGTCATTTCGGGAGCGTCATAAATCGTGCGTACATTGAACGGCGCGCGTCACAATGGAGTTTCAAGCTGGCGACACTGTCTAAAATCAATTTTGTGAATTCCTCTGACGCTGTGTGTCTGAGTGTGTTTGGGTGTGTGTTTATGTGTGGGTGTGTGCTGAATTGACAGCCAGAAACAGAGGCAGACATGTGATGTTCTGTCTATGACAAGTTGTTGGCCTGGGCACAGTGACAGAGTACGCTGTTGAGTAACTGCTTTCAAGTCTATTCCAATTTTCTCTATTTGAATTTATCGGGCAACTGATAATAAAGAAGTCTCTTCACATCAACTAAATCAACAGTTTGAAAACTTCGGGCACAAAAACTAATAACCCAAACGTCTTGTACCCTCGACCACACCAGCAGAGGGTGCATTGTGTGAACCCAACAAAATGACGAGGAAATCACTTATCATTTATCTCAGTTGCGCGCGTTCATAACAAATCACAAATATTTACTCGCCATATCAACTTCATATAAAACGCTGCCCTGTGCCAGCGCCTTCTGCTTGCTGCTTGTCCTCTTCACTGGACATGCGAGGAGTCCAAGGCGCCAAGTCCCTGTCTCAGGCAGCTTCTTCTATCTGGCTCTTATTGGACTTTCATCAACATTGGTTGCCAAGGAGCGGGCTGCTGCTGCTGCTGAAAACGAGAAACTCATTGCTGTCACTGGGCAGAAAGTAAATTTGAAAAGTTTGCAGCGAGGGCGGCATGGCTGCAAAATCCTTGCCAGGACATGAACTGTCCTTGTGTCACACGCAATGTAAGCAAACGAAGCCAAACTGATGCGGCTAGCACGAAAAAAAAAATTGTATTAAAAAAGCGGAAACAGCTGTCAAGTTGGTTTTTTTCTTTTTCTTAGCCACACTCATGCGTCACAACAAGGCGTTCATTTATTATAACTACAGCTCTGTGTGTGAGTGTGTGCGTGTGTGTGAACTTAGCTATGTGTGCAGCACAGTTGAATATCGATTGGCTTGTCCTTTGTAGGTGGCCTGGATACACATTGATCGCCAGATGATACTCACCATACATCGCCATGTCATCTCGCGCATACCACGCTACAGCATCACCTACGCGGACAACACGTGGCTGCTGCACGTCAATCAAGCGCATCAGGACGATCGCGGCTATTACATGTGCCAGGTCAACACCAATCCCATGATTAGCCAGGTTGGCTATCTGCAGGTGGTGGGTAAGTGACGCAGTTAAAGCCAACAGCCAAAGCTGTACCCTCTACTAATATGTACGCCCTGCTCTCATTTCAGTGCCACCCAACATACTGGACATTGAGAGCACCCCATCTTCGGTGGCGGTGCGTGAAAATCAAAATATCAACATGACATGTCGCGCCGATGGATTTCCAACGCCAAAAATCATTTGGCGTCGAGAGGATGGCGAGGAAATTGCCGTAGAGAAAAAGAAGAAAGGTATGAGAGTGTCAAACTTTAATGCGGGTGGCTTTAAGAGTTAGACAGATGGAAGTTAAATAGATTTTTATTATTTCAAATGATGATTGTAAAATATAATTATGACCAGAAGTATTTTTTGAATAGGAAATTTGTAAGTGTAAGCGATAAATTTAAACCGATTTCAGTTCTTATTTAACAGTCACTTCGACTTAAATTAACTTTAAATTAATATTTGCTGTTAGGAGATTAAATTTAATATAAATTCTTTTTTAATCTAAAAACTTTTTGACCTATGCATAACTTTAGTTCAACAAGAAATTCTTTAATTTTTTTAAATTGTTCTTCCACTTAACTTTTGAAGCTGCCCACGCTTAGATACATTTCATTTTGTCAGTTTCCCATTGAAAATTCTCCATGCTCTGCACGTTTATTTCCATGGTGCGGACATCTACTTCCTGCAAACATCAAAACCAACAACAATAACAGTTCTGGTCTACGATGGCGATATCCTGCCGCTGACCAAAGTTAGCCGCAATGAGATGGGCGCCTATCTGTGCATAGCCACCAATGGAGTGCCACCCTCTGTCTCGAAGCGCATAATACTGGATGTGGAGTGTAAGTACCCCACAATATAGACAACCATATATATGTGTGTACAAGAGTCGGTTGACTTGAGCGAAATGAAAACTATATAAGTATATATACACAATACATGCACATATCGAGGCGGCGGCAGTTTACGTTGAGCCGGTCACATTATATTGCCGTGGCTGTAGCACGCGCGTGCACTTAACGAGAACGATGACAACGACTCGCAGAGACTCGCGATGGAGTGAGTATCTATGCGGCACATTCATCCATCTATACGGCAATTGAGGCAGTCTGGAGTCGTATACCTGCCGCTCATCAATTTAACTGCACGCTCGCTCGTCGCTCGTCGCGCGGCCGTGACAAACGCAGCCAGCGACCTGGTTGGTTCCTGCTAATGCAGCTGATATATGATGGAGTCGAGCCGGGCGTTAAAGTTGTGCGGCTGTTGCTGGTTGCTGGCAGCTGCACGCTGTGTGCCAAGTAAACGCTTGTTAATCCTAACGAGTTTCTTCGCGCCCCCCTCCCAGCCCACCTGGCTGCCTCAGGCGGCCCACACATTGACAATAATTCACGTCACGTAGCTGCAATAAAGTCACTTGCCGGCATTGCACGTATGACTTTGACGGCATTTTCCTTCGTTTCCATTTTTTTTTTAACCCACCACCGCCCCCACCTATTTTATTATGAACGTTTTTGTGCGTGGCGTTGTGCATGGTAGTTAGGGGATGCGCGATCCGCCATGTTTCGAAATACAGGTAGGCGCATTGACGGGGTGCGCGTTTAAATTTCCAACAAGCCGTTCGCTGTTTCAATTTCGTGTTTGCATTGTGCACAAAACTGGGGCAAACTATGGTAAATGCGCGGGTAAAACAGATAGTTGAGCTGGATGGAGACTGAGGCAAAGCTGTGTGTGGATATATTGATGGGGGCAGACTTTGTGCAACTAAATTGATAGATATTGAAATTATTCATAATCGCCAATTTCATATATGCCAAAATTTGACTATTATTAGTGGAGCTTGTCAAAATGAATGTTTGGCATAACAAGAGCAGCAATAAACACACTCGAAGCTAGTTTTAAAACAATTTTGCGCCAAACATGGCAACATTTTTATATTAACTGGCCAAATGCGCAAGTTTTTGCTACTGAAAAACAGCCCCCATTATGCTGCCAAAAATCCACAGCACGTACTTCCTGCTAAACTTTACATCATTTTCTTCATTTCTTTATTTTTAAGAGTCAGGCTGGCAACGTGTTGTCTCATTGCCATGTCTCGCAGAAGTGTTTTTCAGCTTTGTCATTGCACTTTCATTTTAAGCTTGCCAGACAGACGACACACACACACACACACACACACACATAGACACACGGGGAAAATTGAGCAGCAGGAAAGCGAGACAGACACATATTGAACATACGTAATGCTGCAGCTTATGCGTACTTTGGCCAAACGCTTGAAATGCAACGCCACCTTGCCTAACTACATACATGCACACATACTAACATACACACACTTGCATACATATTTCTCGGTATTTCCCTCTGGTATCGTTCACTTTATCAACATTTCTCTACCTTCTCTGCCCCGCGCTTCTTTCAGTCTCGCCAATGATTTGGGTGCCGAATCAACTTGTTGGCGCGCCAGCTGGCACAGATGTAACCATCGATTGCCACACCGAGGCTCATCCCAAGTGAGTTTTTCATTCATCTCTAAATATTTTTCTTTTTTAAATTTCGATATAGCATACATTTAAGCGTACTCGACGTTTTTTATTTCATTTAAACGGGCTTCTATCGCACCTCCAGCTGTTAGCTGATCTGCCTTTGATTTTGAAATGCACTTTGTTTTTCATTTTCTATGAAAAATCCCCCCCCCCCCCCCTTGTTCGAATATGATGAAAAATTGTTGTTATTCTTGCATTTTTCAGAGCCATCATCTATTGGGTATACAATTCTGTAATGGTATTGCCCAGCAAGAAATATAAAACGGACTACACAGAGAACTCGTATCGGTAAGTCAAATGAATGAAACTTTAAACCCGAAACTCGCCCTCTCAAAATGGTGTTGTTAAATATTTATTATGCATTTGCTCTTGACTACAACATTGGCAGCTGCTGGGTCAGGAGCAAAAACGCCAATGCATACTACATTTCAGTGCATATGTTCCCGAAAAAGATTTCGCCTTTAAATCACCTGTTACTCATTCCTTGTTTATTTGCCATTTAATTGAAATTTTGGAGCTTATATGAACGCTGTGCATTTTTAAGGTAGTTTCTGTGTTACGAATTAATTAAGACATCGATTTGTGGAATACGTGCAATCTGGTTTTCTCCTATTAATGACTTCGCCTTTAAATCGTCTCTTTCTTACTTCTTGTATTTGACTAAAGGCTCGAAAAATATGTTGTGTTTACATTTTGAGGCAATCTCTGTGCTGTGAATTAATGAAGATAATGATTTATGGAATACTTGCCATTTTTTTCCTCTAAAAAAACGATTTCCCCTTGAAATCACCAATTTTTTAATCATTTTATTTGTCTTGTGACTAAAATCTTATGTCTGAGCTAATCTCTGTACTAATGGCGACTTCGATTTGTGAAACACTTAAAATTTGATTTTCTCTCAAAAACAATTCCGTCTTTAAACAGTCAGTTTCGGTATTTAATGTATTTGTTTTTGGCTGAAATCTTATACTTAAATATATATATATAAATAACTAAATTCTGAGCTGATCTTTCTGCTGTAAATTAATGTCGATATCGATTTGTGGAACATCTGCCGTTTGGTTTTTTCTTTCTATATGTTGTCTCACTCTAACTGCCTATTTTTAAAGCGCCCACATGAAACTGACGATAAGAAACCTACAATATGGCGACTTTGGCAACTATCGATGCATCTCAAAGAATTCTCTTGGGGAAACGGAAGGCTCCATACGTGTTTATGGTAAGTGCATTTGTATTGGTAGCTTAAGTGCACTAGTTGCAGCCAACATATAAACACACAGACACACACACACACACACACACACACTCACATACACACATACCGAATGCAATATCGAGCGCCCTTTGTGGCACAATTTCGCCAAAAGCTTTTACCTATGTGCCGCTCCAGCGCCCACAAGAGCAGGCCGAATCCGAGCGGAGTCGAACTGCGGCTCGTCTAGCTCCGATATGTGCACTGTGCTCTGGAGCGTAAAACTAAACGAGCGGCCACCAACGGAGCTGAACTGCTTCTGACTCCGGGTTTGGGTTTACATTCGGATCTGCCAAACTAGCAACAGCAGCAGGACACGTAGATACATTCACCATAAACGTAAACATAAAATAAAGGTGCATTCTGGAATTGTTTGACTTTGTACCGTGCACGCTGCAAAAACTCGTAGAGCCGTTGAGCCTGGCAGTCTGGGTTACCTGCTTATGTGAGGTCTCACGTGTCGTCTGTGTTTCGTTTATATTTAGGGACTTTCATTTATTTATTTATTTTTTATGCACTACAGAGCTGTAGCTGCGTTCGGGAATAAATGAATAAAGAAAAGGTCACAGATGTTTTGATTGTGTTCTGAGAAAGTCGTGGCCTGAGATGTTGTTTATACCCTTCTAAAGGGTATTACAATTTTTTAATGAAATGTGTAACGCATAAATGGAGATAAGTACGACCCCCTAAAGTATATATATTCTAGATCAGCATCAACAGCAGATATACCCGATTTAGTCATTTCCGTTTGTTGGTCTGTCTTTTACCTTTTTGTTTACCAAGATATCTAGACCAGACTCGGCATTTACTAGCAAAACTATCCAGCCAAATCTTATCAAGATCGTACTACTATATTCTATAGCTCTTTAGGAATTTGTTTTTAGTGTGAATCTTTTTAACAAACACAGCATTTGCGAGCTTCACTATTCTCACATATCTGCAAAGCCGTGAGGCAAATGTTTAAAGGGTATTAAACCTTCGGCATGCCAAATATATCATTACTTTCTTGTATATTCTTTTATATTTGGTAAAATGTATCTTTGGCAATCATCTAGTTAGCCTACTTTGTAAGAATTGTTTATAAAATAAAAGCCAGAAAGCTAGCTATCTAAGCCGTCCTTGTGACACAGTCATCAAGAGCAAGCATCTAGCTTCATAACCCAGGCTTATGTACGGATCCAGTAATATCTTGCCCAGAAATAAAAGCAGATAGTTACCTTAAATATAATATTCAACTGTTATTATCAGACTATCCCAGTTCAAATACACACGATTCCTTTGAGAGATCATTTATTTATTATATTTCAAAAAATACATGTAAAATTTAATTATAAATCCAATTAAATTGAATACATTTTCGCAACATCATGTTGACCCACATTTTATATATAATGTGGCTTATAAAGGCTTTATATGTACATGCATATGCTTTTAATTTATTTTCTTTAAGCTGCCTGCAACTTGAACGATTGAGTTCAAGAAGGAAATGGTGTGACCTTTCCACTGGCACCACTTGACATACAAAACCACAACGCAGTTGGCATATATATTTTACGCAAATACACTTTATATATATACATCTTGCATACCCACACACACAGACACACGCACAGACAGGCTTACACAGTGACTGAAATTAAAAACTCATTTGGTTGATTTTATCATAATTAATTATGCGATGCTATTCGATTCCATTTTGTTTTACAGAGATACCTTTGCCATCAACACCATCCAAACAAGTAACACACACCACCGTCGAGTCCAGGGAGAGTAAGTATAGTATCAGACGAGCTGATGTTAGCGATATGTATATGGGTGGAGTGGGGCCAGGCCCAGGGCTGGAGCTGGAGCTGGAACCGGGGCCGGGGATAGATGCTCGCTTTTGTGCTTAACACATCCCGTAGAGCGTCGAGAGCGACGAGCGTTGCATAAACTGTGAAAGTCACACCGGCAAACCGACACTTACTCACACCCACCCCACACACACGCACACCCGCACTCACACTCACAGAAAAGGATACAGGATACGGCGAGCCACAAACAAAACTGCGAAAGTAGCAGCTAAGCCAGGCAGAGCCACACATACCATCGCAGCCAAACACACACACACACTCGAACACACACAGTGGCACACTCAAGAGAGTGCTGTGGGACGGCGACACGCCCACAGAAAGAGATAAAGTAAAGCAAAGCACTTTTGACTATTTCAACGTGGGGCTTTCCAAACTCAAGTCGAGCAGAAAAGTACACACACTTTCAAGTTCTGTGTGTTCCGCCGGGCTGTGCAAGTCCAGGGCAAAGCAATATGCTGCGGATTATGCTGCTAGGGATTTTCGGGGGCATTAGGTTGGAAACACATTTGAAACACTGCCGCGCTGCAAAAAACAACAACAACTCTTGAGAAAGGACCAAACATATTTTATTTAAAGTGACTGGCGCGGCGTCGACTGCCACTGCAACGGAACGTAATCCTTGCCAGGCAACAAAGGATGTGTTATATCTATATATGCAGGAGTGTGTATATATATATATATGTGTGTGTGTATGTGTTTGTGCTGGTGTTTGTGCGCGTGGTAAATTTTTGTATCGCAGCCAAGTGGCTGCCACAAGATTTCCACACAATTTAACTTGAAAACCATGTCAGCAAAGGTTGAACAAGTTATATATATATGCGGACGTGTGTGACTGTGTGTGCGTGTGTGTGTGTGGGGCAAGCTTTCTTCTTATTGAGTTATTAGCCATACGATAAACAAGCGAAGCGTGCTAATTTTAGCTTCTTTCACTATTCCCATACTCTCGCACTCTTCTAGGCAATATTATACCAACTTTACGCAACGATTCAACGAAATCGCTACAAACGGATGTTTACGCCATGAAAAACGATTTGTATGCTGGCAGTGGCTCATCGTCGGCGGGCTCCAGCTCATCCGCCGCCTCATCCTCTTCGATGCAAACATCCTTGCTGCCCGGTGGCGCCGCCGGCAATAGCCTATCAGCGCTAAGCGGCGGCAGCAAGGGCTCCCTGGCGATAGGCAAGAGCATGTTCTACACGGAACGTCCACCGAACGAGTACGCGAGCTCCACCGGTAAGTTTGTCTGCTCCTATAAATCTATAACTAACTCGTGATAACTCAATCCATATACTTATATATAATATTTATATATCTTTTGCCTATTTGTGCTGCAAATAGCTGGAGCTATGCATAGGCTGTGTTGGCTGGGCGCAGGATTAGCTCTGCTGTTTGCTGCGCTTTGAAATCAATAATTTGAGTTCAACTAAAATAAACATAATAAAAAAAGGCATTTGTAAAATGCAGCCAAAGGGGGGTACAAGGGGTAGCTTTTAGGTGTATTAATTTCACAGCTGAAGCAAACTGAAAACTGAAAACCAAAAATGAATACTAATAATGTTTATAGCTACAATAATAATATAACTAATGAATAGCTCACATTTAATTGAATTTGTTTATGATAAAGTTAAACAAATTTGTTAAATGAAAATTGACAATGAAAATAAGCGACAAAAATAATTAAAAAGTTTTGCTGGCGTGCGTAGCAAACACAATAAATGCTCATTTTATGTACAATATTAAAACGTATACATAAGAAATACACACACACAGACAAACAGAAGACTAGTGAAGGAGAGTTATTTGTACAATTCAAAAATATACATATTCTCACGATACAAAGCAAAAAAAAAAATTTAATCCATATAGAAATATAGTTTATAATAAAATTGTTGAGCTTTTGTTTTTGTGTGTGTTCGCATGTCAGTTTCCTAGGGCTTAGCATTTGGTTTTTCTTGAATACACATGCAAAAATATTTAGCCAAAAAGCAAAGCTTTTCCATCGAGCATTATCCTAGACTTAAATAATATTTTTCTTTAGCCAGCTGCTAAGTGAATTTTCCATGGAAATGAATATACACTTGGATTATAATTAATTTCAAATGAAAAACAAAATGGATAATCGTTTAAAGAAAACGTTGCATATTGCATAAAATTGCATATCTTAAGCAAATAACAGAATTTATCATATCCCAAACGTAAACATATGATGAAAATACATATGAAAATTGTGTCCTTTATTAGTTTTGAGTTCTTAAATAGAGTTTTTTTTAGTAGTTTAAGTCATGCAATATAAATTGCTGCAGTTCATTTATTGGGGTCATCATTAATTGTTGCATACATTAATATTTGAACATCTTAAAATACATTTTGAGCGTTATTTATCATTGCAGTTTTAGCAAGCAAAAGCTTTTCATTTACATATTTGATTTTTCTTTACTTTTGCATTACATTTATATTTTTTTGGATTTCGTTTCGATGTACTTCATTTCCAGCGCTTTTGCAATATTTCGCAAATATAAAAGAAATTGCAATTTCTTAAATGCAGAAATTTCATTGAGCTGCTTGAGGTTGAGCCACGCCCCCAGGGCACCAGCAAGCTGGTCGAACTAGTGCGTCAAGGCTTTACAGTTGTTGCCATGTTTGGTCGTGGCAATAAAACGCCTTAAAAATGTCATTAATTTTTACATTACACGCCCACCACCCATCACCCCCCGCCCTGCACTCGGCGCTCCCTGGCGCCGGGCCACAGCCAGAAAGAAATTGCAATAATAATATTCCGGCAACGTACACGTAGCCATTGGCTTGATTTTACGTATTCGAGCAAATTGTTGCTTACTGGCTTCGGTGTCCACATCCTTGTTCCTCGTCCTCGTCCTCGTCCTGATTCTCGACCTCGCAGCGCTTTTGTGCGCTTTCATCATTTTTTAATAAATGCACATGCTAATTATATTATTACTCATACGACCCGTGGCACGACATTGGCCGTACCGCCGAGCGCCGAGTGCCGAACACGCTGAAACGTTGTCTGCGCGAAATACTTGCAATTAATTTCAGCATAAAATTGCGTGGCCTGCGGTCTCCCTGCCCCGCACAATGACACACAGTTAACATGTCCAATTTATTGGTCATAATTCATGCAGACCAATGACGAGGCCCCCAAAGGTGGCCCACAGGCGGGCCCCCCAGTCGAAACCAAGCGACTATCGACAGCAAGAAAAATGGTATTAAGGCCAGAAGATATATGGCACATTTGCATATATATATATATAAATATATATACAAAAAATGGGCAAGAGTTCTTTTCTATATGTGTGTGTGTGTGTGTTTATATGCGCACACACATATATGATATGTTGTTGTGTGTGAGCGGGGTTAAGGGGCTGCCAATTTACTGTATTTATGTCATGTGTGTTGTTGCCGTAACTTTATATGGTTTTAATAATTTAAACCGTGTTGCATAAAGTGCGGCATACAGTGCGTGGCAGCTGGCCAAGTGGCAGAGCACACATAGTTAACTGTTAACCGATGTTAACTGCAAAAGGACTCGCTGCAGCGCCTAGATAAATGAGTGTATTCAAAGTAATATATGAATAGTCAACATTGTTGCCGGCACAATGCAACAAAATTAATGCTTTTTATTTTATTTAATATTTTTATTGTATACTTTTCGTGTGCTCATTGTGTGATTGTTAATACTATTGTTGTTGTTGTTGTCGATGGAGCAAATAAGGACATGCGCGTGTTGACTTACATGCATTGTCGCTTCTGCCATTATCTCGAACAATGCAGCTAATTAAGTATTATAAATGCAAACCATAAGGCAGCAAGCAACTCTCGCCCCAAGGACATGCAAAGGGTCAATATTGTCAACATGCGCTTTAAATTTTCGTCAAATAAAGCTGAACTTTTCTTCAATATATAATTTATTACAATTTATTGCTTATGATTTATAAACGGGCATTCGGTTTTTTTTTTTCTGTTTAAATCTCATTTGACATCAATTTGGTTCATTTAACATTAACCTGATCTGCGGTTATTGTTTTTGTTTTTCTTTTTGTTTTACTCAACAAATATGTAAATACAAAAGTTAGATTCATATAAAAATAAATAATTATACATATAAAAAAACCGCTGTAAACTAAATTGCCTTTTTATGTAAATAAAATTATAAATAATTATTGCCACAATAAAATTCAATAACACAGCGCAATATAATTAAACAAAAAAAAAAAACGTATTCCATTTCAAAAGGCATAAATAATAACAAGTTTTGAAAACAAAAGCCGCGGAAAGTTTAAAGTAAAGTATATTAAAAAAAAAAAAAGGAAAACTTGCAGTGCTCGTAATTAAGCCGATTTAACTATAAATAATTGATAGAAATATTAAGTGAAAATAATGATATTGAAAATAATTGTAATAAATTATAATATGCATATACATATATTCATAAATATATATATAAATAATTATGTTGTTTGTTGCCTGTACTTAAAATTTAAGATGAAATATCAAATCAATAATAGTATTCTAAATGCCGCAGGCTTTTGCAACGGAAATTTTCCTAATAATATTAAAAGCTGCAAAAAAAATATAAACTATTTATTTGTGCTAACAATTTGTTTAACGGAGCGGCGAGACACAATAACAATAAATAAATAAAAATGCATTATGCCCCATTAAATCTTATGGAAATTGATTTGTTAGGCAAACAATTTAAAGTAATTTATGAAGTTAAAATTTCATCATAATTTAGTTCGCTGCAGCTAAAAAGTATGCAACAAAAAATAGTTTATCAAATTTGCTTTACAATTTAATCCCTAATTAAAATGTCATTATTTAATTATGGTTTACCAGCCGCTCAGTTAAAAAGCTAAGCTATTGTAATATAACGAATTAACTGCAATGAAATGAAAAAAACATAAATAATAGCAAACCACAAAATATGTATTTAAGATTGAGACTAATTGTAAGCAGTTATTATTACGCGAAAATAAGCATAATAAAACTTAGGTTGATTGATACCAAAGCAAAGGGGCGACTAAACGGGAAACGCAAAGCAGAAAAACCAAAACAAAAAACAAAATGCGAACAAAATGGAGAACAAAGTAACGAACATAAATAACTGTTGTTTTATTCAGCAATTTGCATCTAATTCAGCGCTCAATTACATGCGTCGACGTCGACGCCGGCGTCGCTGTCAGCGTCGACGTCAGCGCCGCATTTATGCAAATGCCTTTGGCTTTGGCTTTTCGGCGGCTTTACGTTGGGGTTTTGACATTTGGCTCTTGCCGGCTTTTAGGCCAAAAACGTTAATGAGCGCGTTTATTTTACAGCAGAGCAACAACTGCATAAAAGTGTGTGAGTGAGTGTGTGTGTGGTTGCTAATTGTTTGCGACATGCAAACAAGTTTAACACAAAATATGCTAAACATTTGCGAAGCAAAGAAAACTGTTTAATAATTTAATGTTATTTGCATAGATTTGAGCTGACGCGTTGACGTTGCTCAATTAAGCTCGACACGCAGCACACTAAAGCGCCAAGCCTGCCGAACCACACCACACCCACACCACCACGCACCACTTCAGCAGCAAGCGCATAATTTGTTTGTTTTCATGATGGCCAGACGAACTTTTTGGCGACAAAACGTTTCACTCGGCACGCACACGCTGCGTATACGCAATGTGCCACAACAGCAGCAGGCTTGCGGGCGGGCTGGCAGACAGCTTAAAGCCGTGCGCTTCAATTTGGTTAACAACTTTTGCCACAAGCATGTAAACCACTTGGGCGCACTAACATTATCATAATTATAACATATATAGACAGACATACGACGGAGAGAGAGAGAGAGAGAGAGAGACATACAGACAGCGGGGCGGACGGACACCTTTTGGTTATCTCGTGGCTGACGCTGGCGCCACTTGAGCAACTTTTCAAAAGTCATTTAAATTATACGCACAAAAGCGCGAAAATGATGCCACAACGTGAATTCAGGCGCCACTTACAGCCAGCACACACACAGAGAGAGAAAGCGTGGAAACACAAGCGGAAACCACATTTGTCGGCAAAGTTTTGCCTACAGCCGCTTCAACATAGCGAAAATAGTTGAGTGCAAAGCGTGCGCACACTTAAGATAAGCTTCAAGCGCAAAACTTTCATCTTACAAATTCGCGTAGCACCCAACCAACCCGTCGCACACTCTGCTTTCACCAACCATCCACCTACTCCCCCCGCCCACCATACGCATTCACAAATTAATTCTGCGCCCATGTCTGTCTGCCCCACTGTCGCCATGTCTGTTTGTCCCTGCTGCCATTCGTGCCGCTTTTGCAGCTGCAGGAAATATGTTTAATTTCATTTAAATGTAGTAAGTGCAACACTTTGGTTAGCTTTTGCCACGGCATGGCGTCTGCTTCTGGATAGCTGCTGCATGCAGCGGGGGGCTAGGGGGTTGGCGCTTCTGGTTTACATTCATGCGGGGCTGCCGCTGCTGCTGCTCGCTTCGCTTCGTGGCGCTGGGCAAATGCAATGTTAAAATTCTGTGTGTGTTCTTTGCCAGATTTTACACATTTATTTGTGTAAATGAATTACAGCTCAAAGGATGCATCTGTGTTTGGTTTTTGGTTAATGAGTGCGAATGGCATAAGCAGCTGCTTTGATTAAGCAACTTTTTATATCAGCCAACGGAAATATGTAATTTGTTACACAAGTCTTGCACGTTCGTCATTTTTAGCTGCACTCTTTGAACTAAATCTTAAACTCTCTTGTTACCCAAATAAATATCCATTTTCCTGGGGACGACACTTCAGCTTAAAACAGGAAAAAGCAAAAGACAATAAGACCTATATTTACAGCGTCCGCTATGTCAATTGCTTTTAAATTAAATCAAATCCAGAACCCGCCAAGAGCCCAAAGTCTTTTACAACTTACAAATAGGTCAAATCCGAACAACTATTATCTAAACCATTTAATTCAAATGTTTGCATATTATTTTTTTGCACTTGAAATGCAATTTGATGCAAATTTTATTTGAATTTTTAAAACGCAGTTTTAAGCACTTGAAATTTAATTTAAATTCATTTTGCACTTAACTTTGCCAATGCCAACAACATCATTATGAACATTCCATAAACCAAATAAACTTATAAAAAATGTTTGCAGCCCGAAGGGATTTTCGAAACTTTGTGTGCATTTTTAAAACAGACGACGCAA